CCCAGCGTCAAGCTTTTAAGAAGTCATCTTCGAGCAAAAAGTGGCACGCTGATCTATCACCGCGGTCATTCATGAGTTAACGTTATAGGGTCACTAAGATCACAAGGGCCATTGCATCGTGTCAATTACCTATTCTTGTTCGATCTCCAGACTGATTTAATGTACCGTGATCGTGGTTAAGAATTATTAAACTTGACAGAGCAAAGTTACTCTCCCGCAGGAATTTGTATTATATTTTCTAAGCACACGAAGTTTGGTCTGGAACCAAACTTGTGATTATACCTTGGACAAAGTTGCCGCAAACTTATGAACCATGACATAAATACATACGCAGTATTCTAGGAACACTGTAATATATGGACATTGTGTATTATTCTTACAGGGCGGATGCAAATTTGTGCAAACCGAACCGCTCAGTCGATCAAACAAAGCATCTAAACCAAGTAAAACCGGTGGGTTATTGGCCTACTGACCGTCAGCTCCGGCCGCTCACTACGTTCGCCCGCCGCGACGCGCCGGGCTCTCACCCAGCCCAGCAGCAGCTCCATCTCAAGCCCATCTCCGCTCGCAGCCCCACCGCTGGCCACCCCTCTCCCCTCCCGCCCCCTCCCATCCATCTGCCTCCGGGCCTCGGGCGGACGACCGAGCGCCGGAAAGACGCAGTACTGCCGATCTGCCGGCCGTCTATCTGCCGCCCCCGGCTCCAGCAGTCCAGCTGAAACTTCCGGCACTCCATCGGTAATTGCAGATCGTCTATCTGCCGTTACCGACCGTCTATCTGAAACCATACACCCAAACTCCACAGATTTAGTGCTGGCTCGCTCCCAAACTCGAGGAGCATTCAGGCTCCCCACACATTTCTATTTTCTTACCTCTTCCCAGATCCTCACGACCCACTTTCTAAAAGCCCCTCGACCGTCGCTCTCAGGCTCCGTCCGGAAATCGGGTTTCCGGCCTTATTTTTATGGCTCTTGAGCCTCCTCAAAATTCAGCTTGTCTGCAAATATCCTCATCGACATTCAAAACAATATCCCCGTAGGCACATTTTCTCAGGATTATAAACGCCCGTGCCTATAGTTGTTGGTTCTGAGCCGATATAAGCAAACACGGCACAGTAACGGTACTCGGTTTTCTGCACGCCTCCCTTTTGTCCAGGAGCGCGTATCTGTACCTCTCGATCCAGCCTATCAGCTCGGCCCGACCGGACCGCTGTCCCCTGGGGTCCGCCGGCTGATGAGACTCGCCCCCTCCTCCAATCCTTGTCCCCCACCTCCCCCCCCCACCCGGCGGGGAGGAGGGAGGGGAATGGTGCTGCTGATATTCCCATGGATGTAAGATGGAGGAAAACTGGAGGACTGGCCTTACAGCCCACAGAAATACCCTTCAGCTACTGGAGCATACACAAAATAGTGGTGTGGTTCTTGCCGCTCCAATTTCTATTCATTCTTGTCAGAGAACTTCTTTTATTCGCTACACCCACACTTTTCAACACTTTTTTTCCTCGTGTTCCTGCTTATGCCCTCCCCTCCTTCTCCCACTTCTGTCCCTCTCCTCTCTAACACATCCCCTCCCCGTCTTTCCATTCGTACCGATCGGTGTCGCGCCCCGTCGGCATACAAATTAGAGTGGGCCAGCGCGGCCGACCGCCATCCGGGGCTCCACGGCAGTCTTCAGAGGGGCTGACATTGTAGCCAGGGAACGTGCGGATAGGCGCCATCGCGGGTGATTGTCAGGACGACATAGTTATCAATTGTTTCTGCAAAGTCATAAGCAATGATTATTAATTTTAGTGCTTCTGCTGAGTGCTGCATATTTACTTCGTAGAAAAGTTTGGTTGTGCTGCACCAATTATAAACTGGTCTGTTGTATAATGCTAACTTTTTGTGTTGACTGCTAAATGAAATAATGGCGACAACAACGGTCCTGTTCATACAACCGGCAAATAACAAATGAAATGTGTTGTCACGCATGTCTCGTGTGTTGTGGTCCTAGTTAGGGATGTACTGAAGAATATTACTCCCACAAATTAAACACAATTATGTGCAAAGTATGTTAACAAATCACGTTATGGGTACAATGGGCTGTACAGTGTAAAGGTCGCACGATCTACGACATTCTGTTCGTCCTAGACGGAAGCAAGATGGCGACGATTTGGAATGAATGCACAGGCAAACAGAAAGAATTGAATAGCGATGCGAGAGAGTGAAAGAGTGAGTGAGTGTGAGAGAGAGAGAGAGGGGGAGGTAGGGAGGGAGAGATAGAGATAGAGATAGAGAGAAAGAGAGAGAGAGAGAGAGAGAGAGAGAGAGAGGGAGAGAGAGGAGGGAAAGAATATAGACAAATAGATAAATATAGCCCGGTTCCGAGTTTCGACTTTTTCAATTCTCGAGCATCTTTGGACCTTCTCTGTCTCGCCCAACCCACCTGGAATCTTTTCTATCCCACCGACTACTCATGGGTCGTGTCCCGTCCCATGCCATTGACCGGGGCACGAGGCATGCCGCAAATCAGCGCCCCTGGCCGTGACCGGGAAGGCAATGATACTGCGGCCCGGCCTGCACTCCGTCGCTGATGAAGAGGCCGATAGGCGGCCGTCCTCTGGCAGCGCGCTGGCCATCGAGCGCCGGCGCGACACCGGCTGAATGTGTGTCCCCACAGCGCGCTCTCTGGCCATTGTGGCGGCCACAATGGCGCCGGTTACACAGACGTCCTGCCGGCGGGCGGACGGACACACAGAGAGCGGGCCCGGCAGACGCACCTGCCGCCGCCAGGGCGCACCGAACAGTGCCCGAGGCGACGGCGGTGTTTTTGCTGCGCTATCAGATTTACAAGGAGGAGATGCCCGTAGTCAGGAGCGTGAAATGACACGCCAGTCACACGATGTATTGGAAGCTAATAGCATTCGCAAAAAAAGCATACACACACACAGGTGCATAAGAAGTGGACGGTGTATGTAGTTTCCAACATAAGAGGGAGAGGGGATTAACCTCACAGCCTACCTTTAGTCGACTTCGACACTTTAAAAAATGAATGTAAACTTAGGACTGGAATTTAATTGCATCTTCCCTTTCAGCAACTGAAAATATTTGATCAGACTGAATGATCGCCTCCGAGCTAGGGGTCGATCATTGCAAGCCCTGTCCCTCACAATTGGGTTTTCTATGCTGTCGAAACTTTTTAACAACATAACGTCTGGCGACTCCTGGACACGTGGTTCCCGATCCGACTCCTGCTCAGCATTCTGTAGTCGGTCATCCTGAAGTTGAGAATCTCTCTCTCTCTCTCTCTCTCTCTCTCTCTCTCTCTCTCTCTCTCTCTCTCGCTCTCGCTCTCTCTCTCTCTCTCTCTCTCTCTCTCTCTCTCTCTCTCTCTCTCTCTCTCTCTCTCTCTCTCTCTCTCTCTCTCTCTCTCTCTCTCTCACCCATCCCTGAATCATTGTCCCGAAAAGAAAATTTATATATAGTTTAAAACATACTAGCTGGTCCAAGTTCATCTAATATCGGTGAAACGAACTTCTACAGAGCATGAACCATTCGAGTGCTTCATTATTTCCAAACACTGCTTTTGGATGAAAACAAAAATCATCAAGCGGTTTTTCGCATTATTTACCCGAAGAAAACACCAACCTCGATATTTTAATTGTTATTGTTTGAATGTACGGCCCTCCAGGTATTAAGTGGTTGGTTGCCAACATCACAATAAGCGATCTGCATTGATTAATGCGTCTAATGGCTGTTGAAAACCATTGCCGAAGTGTGTGCACGAACCCTCTTCTCATTTCTTTTGAGTCATTTTACAGGAGTGTCTCTGTCATTCAAAGTTATTACACCAAAAGCACATAGGCTAACCAACCACTCTTTTGCTGAAGGGCCGTACCCATGCTTGCTGAATCCACGAAGGTGAATTACAATAATTTTAATAAACGGTAATTAGTAGATCAAATGATATTCCTTCAGCAAATGACGCAACTACCGATATTCTGCACGTTTGATTCCAGTCGTATGTTACGAAGTTCAGACATCACATAGATCACAGAGAGTTTTCAGGGTCCCGCTCACGTCCTGCGAAGTTTTGCTCTCTCCGCTTTTGCTCTCTCTACCGCAGACAGAGCGCGCCCCACCACGTGACCGACGAGACACCGAATGGGACCAATTAGCGGATAGTTTCGCGGCGCCCAGTGTCGCGGCATTCGGAGCATTTGTCGGTTTGTTAACTCGGAGACATTCAGACAGTAGGTCGGCGGCCTCTGGCGACCCTCTCTGTTCACGTGTATGTATCTCCCGCGGCGGAGATGAGACATTCCCCCTCCCACACCTGTCTGTCGGGTCTGAGGCTATCGCTTGTGTCAGACACCCGGTGACATCCGCTGTCATCAACCACCTGACAATGCCAGGTCACCGGCGGCCCCAATTGTCGGCACAAACCGCACAGCTGGCAGAACAAGCCGCTCCAAACGGCAGCACAAGCCGCACAGGTGTCGGCACAAGCCGCTCCTAGCGACAGCACAAGTCCTTCGGCCTCACATTCTGTGGCAGTGTTTCTCGGCAGTTCTAGTTCAATATGACCACCGTTCTATCCCCTCTCAACACTGCAGTGAGTGCAGATTGTGCGGTTAACAAACTTGCGTCAGCGTGTGCCTTCACGTGCAGAAGTGTTAATTGAACGGCCGCTTGTGGGCGTCAGCATCGATCCAATGGGACGCACACGACGCTATGCAAACTCGTCTTATCAAGGGATATGGGAGGCTAATTTTAAAAAGATTCCATCGAGAGAGCGGTGAGATGAGCTGTGTGAGTAGCTAGACGTCAGTACAGGTAGTAATCAGGCGCTTCTTCATAGGATAGAACAATACATAGAGCATTGATCTACTAATTGGATAGACCTCCAACCACTGTGTTTCGTTATTCTTACACTACCTGACAGCTAATGTGTTTCCATCCGGCAGGGAAATGACAGTGTGTTTCTATCCGGCAGGGAAATGACAGTGTGTTTCTATCCGGCAGGGAAATGACAGCCGTGCGGCGTTCGTGAACCAGCATGGGGCGCCCCGCCAGCCGCCATGGACGCTGAAAACAGGGTCGTCCTCAACGTGGGCGGCATCCGGCATGAAACTTACAAGGCCACGCTCAAAAAGATTCCGGCCACCCGACTCTCCAGGTAGGTGCATTGTGCATTTTGCACGATATGTGCAGCTGCAGAACACTGTGCAGAAAACTGTGCAGCTTTGTAGGGGGGGGGGGGGAGCGTCCATTCGAGCCATGGATCTGTGAAATCAGTGATGATAGATAAATAAATGTCATTTTTATTTTATTGATTAGCAGTCGATATTCAATGCTAGTGAAACTACCGAGTCAAAGACTCGGTAGCTTGACTCGGGTAAGGTGCCAGTACTTTCATTCAGAATTCGATGATCTTACAACCTGCAGATAGCGACAGACCTCACCTCAGAGTCTCTGTCGCCAACTGCTGTGTGAATCCAAGGGTCTTTGACGAGCCGCCAAACATTTCGCCAGTTGTTATGTAATAGCCCTTTGTGATCTGTTGGGATCAATGCTTGAACGGACGAAATCTGAGAGTCTTTGGATGTCAGGTGGCTTTGTGAACGTGGCTGCAAACTTCATCCGTTTCATCGTATCGAGTGAGACCATCAGATGAAAGTATGTAGTCTTAGCTTCATTTATTGTTCATTTCTTTAAAAAGTTTTTTTTTTTAAGTTTTGTTTAAAGACAACACCGCCCATTTAAGTTTTGAAAGGTTTACTTGCGCATCCCCATCCGTGTGTCCACTAGTTGCACTTAAGCGCCAAGGTTCTTCCTTCTGGCCACATCTATCCGTTCATCGTTTACTGCATAAATTTCTGACAGAAAGTCCAATAATAGGTGGATTAAGCACGGTCAGGGGGACGAAACAGCAACAAGTAGCCGTCGTTTGAGTTTTGCGTCCCCAAATCGGCGATGCCGACGCTCGGCTAGTGCTCGCTGTGACGACCTGTCGCGGAGGCCGTGACCGTGCAGAGGAAACCCTGCAGAGACCGTGACCACACCGTCCTAACCGGCTCTGAATCAACAGATGCCTCTTGATGTGAAGATCCGACGCCATTAGCTGGCCAAGGCGGGCTTTTCGCTTCGTTTGGATATCACATTTCTTACCGCGACAGCAGATCACGTTAAACGGTTGGTTAAACTGAATAGAGGGAATGTATGCAAACCACCCTAGCTTAAGGGAATCACCGACAGCGAAATCTAGTTACATAGCTTGCGCTTTGTGTCGCTGGTAAGAAGGTTTTGAAAGCGAAACCGTATTGAGAATTAATAAATAAATATTATAACTCCGAGAAGGTTACTGCGTCTGATTTTACTGTTATGCACATTTTTTTCGTGTTATTCCATTAATGCCAAGCAAATGTGTCAATACCGAAAAAGTTCGTTTTATAGAAATAATATTCTTCTTCAATATATAAATACCATAAGCACAAATTAGTTATCTTTTTTAGCTAGAACACTATTCTAACAGTCTCCTATTTTTGCAGGTTAACTGAAGCACTAGCAAACTACGACCCTATTTTAAATGAATATTTCTTTGATCGGCATCCGGGAGTATTTGCACAGGTAAGACTGCACGAATCACGCGACAGTTTACCGCACGTCGTCTTGTAACTGTCGTTTTATTAGCCTATTGATGTTCTCTCCAAAATAACCAAAACACGAACATAAACAAAGAAGCTCACCATGTCCGAGAAGCGATTTCTAATAACCGTTCGCGTGGTGCTGACGTATTTTACGACAGCCATCGCCTAGTTAGACGGCCTCTGTTTGGGTCATGAAGCCCGGTCTCCCGCGGCGAGCTCAGCCTTTACGCGGCGATGACGTGTTCCGTCGTCTCTGCCTGCTCCCGTGCCGGGTCGCAGAGCCCACCCGTGCGCGACCGCGCCTCTCATAATATTGAGACTGCCCGTCGGTGGTTCGGCGAAGGAAAGCGCATGACGCCAAGCTCCAATGAATCAGCGGGAACACGAAGACGTGTGCGACGTCAGGTTATGGTAGCTGCATTATCATTAAGCTTCATTGCATTGACGCTTTGATCAGATTAAATCAATTATTTCCTCATTTTGTCAGACGCATTGGCAGGCTGGCTCTAACGAAAACAGCCGTCTGGTTCTTTTCGAGCGGACGTGTGCTATCGTGTGCGACTGATAAAAGCACACGCGGGGCCTGTCATTCGCACGCCCCAGCCAATATCGTAGATTGGAAACATCACGCCACGCGGCGCAGATAACAAAATGAGCGGAAAAAGAGATTTACAATGGCTGCTCGAATGATTTTCCGAGCTCGGCAAAGGACGAGCGAGGTCAAAACCGGTAATGCTATGCATCTCTTGGGGGTTGTTGACATTCCCAAAGGAGCCCTACCATCAGTCAGTCGAAAATTGAATCACCTTATCATACGGCTGAGCATATATTTGTCCAACACCACAGAACAATGATTTCAGTGAGGTCGTAACGAAACAGACGTGAAATGAGCATATGGTTTACCGATATGTTATGGAGGTGATATCGATTCCAGTAAAAACGAATAATGTATCGCAGCCTCTCGCCATCATTATCGATACTCAGACGTCATTAAACCATAACGACCCGGAAGCAGGTCATATGCTCTCAAACGTCTTCGGGACATTCTGGCCAAACTTGGCAGGCGCACATATACCCAATAGTCATCAACGCTTTGTGATTATCCGTTTGGCCATTTTCCCGTGAGCCGGTGCCAAGGCGTGCGGCCAACGGACGCCGGACACCGGGACGAGCCGAACGGGCGCGGCGGGCACATCAGGCCATGTGCAGCCTTCTCCGCGAACCCTGCTGATGTGGCGGCGCGGCCGGCCAGCCCGTGCAGGGTCGGCAGTTCACCTGGTGATCGATGTCACTTTGACGGCTACCGCTGATGCCTACATATACGATAATATTATAAAACGATGGCGTTTACGTGTGGTACTGCATCTGTTACCTTCACAGAAAAACGATCGATAGACAAATCAATTCCAAACAGAAAAATGACTGAAACTTTTTAATGGTCCGCAATAATTGATGAGCCAATAACCCAGCTGGTTTACTGACATTGCAATAACTCCACCACACATTCCCTCGTTCTGAATGCCGTTCGCCATTGACTCGATGCCTGTTGGTTCGTCAGGTGCTCAACTACTATCGGACTGGCAAGCTCCACTACCCGACGGACGTCTGCGGCCCTCTGTTTGAAGAGGAGCTCGAGTTCTGGGGCCTCGACTCGAACCAGGTCGAGCCGTGTTGCTGGATGACCTACACCCAGGTCAGTGCCGCCCACCGTGCGGCTCGTGTGTGTGCACTGTGCATGCATGAGGTAGTGTTGGAGACGTTGTGGAGAAAAATATCCTTTTTGAATGTGTTCAGCGCCCAGGTTTTGCCATCTGAGTTGATTAGTTCAAATTGAAAAAGCAAAGAGAGCAGAGAGAGAGAGAGAGGGAGAGAGATAGATAGAGAGAGAGAGGGAAATAGATAGAGAGAGGAGAGAGAGAGGAGAGAGAGAAAGAGAGAGCGCGAGAGTGAGAGAGAGAGGGAGGGAGAGAGGAAGAGAGAGAGGGAGAGAGATAGATAGAGAGGGAGAGAGAGAGGAGAGAGAGAGAGAGAGAGAGAGAGAGAGAGGGAGAGAGAGGAGGGAGGGAAGGAGGGATATACACCTAGAGGCAAGGTTAGGGAGCGTGTCGACAAGATGTCACTTAGGTATTTTACTTACTTTAGTTTTATATCGTCGCTATTATTCTTGCGATTCCATTTCGTGTCTATGATTTATACAGTTCGATTTCCATGTTCTGTTCGGACTGCGATTCATCTTGATAGTTCCGTCTGGTGCCAAGCGAACGTCTAGCCTCGTGGAGGTTAGCAAAGGGCATGCACTTGGCAGTGGCGCACTCAGCGACGGAATTACTCAAATGAAGAGAGAAGCTGCGTCACGTCAATGGCAGCCCTGCAACATTTAGCCTAAAAGGTCCCTTAGCAATCTGTTCACCTAAAAAAATATCCACGCAGCTGCCCGATCAACTTCTTTTCCGGAGCACGCCTCTGAATTGATCCCTGTCCTTATCGGCTAACAAGTGAATCGCCCAGGGCTGGAGTGAGTAGACACACTGCGGCGGGCACACTTACTGATTAAGAGCCAATAGCGGTGCTTTCAAGCGCTCGGGGAATTTGATTGAACGGGGCTGGGCCCGATGTTCAGCCGGCGCCACCGGTCCGAGACGGTGCAGATCTGGACACGACAGTCATCACTTTAAAGTTTAATTGGCTTCAGACTAATTGTGTGGTTCAAAGTCAGCGATGCGGCAGCCTTTGTTTTCGGTGAAAAGACTAAGTGGTTGGTTATGTTTGCAGTGCTCCTGGAAGTGTTAATTCTTTATCTGAGGACATTCTCGGGTATGTGAGACATGTTAAATGTTGTGATATTTTACCGACTAAAGAAGTACAAATAGCTACAGTAATTATTTAGTAGGATCATGAAGATTGCTTGGATCTAGAAGGCACATTGCGTGTCAGGGAAGGTCGGACCCGACGGCTGCCAGAAATGTCAAGGATCTGCTCAGGGGGATCAGCTGACAGACTATAGAAGTTGTGTGGCGTACCCAGGCTATCAGATGACCGGTCGAGGGGCCTTACGGCGTGTGATGTAGGTCGGTCGGTGTGTCAGTGGGGTCCCTATGACTCTCCTCGTGTCAGTCGGTGGGTCAGAGGAGCCCTATGGCGTGTTCTCTGGCTCAGAGGGGCCCTATGACGTGCTCTCTGGGTCAGAGGGGCCTATGACGTGTTCTCTGGGTTAGAGGGGCTCTATGACATGTTCTCTGGGTCAGAGGGGCCCTATGGCGTGCTCTCTGGGTCAGAGAGGCCCTATGACGTGTTGTCTGGGTCAGAGGGGCCCTGTGGCGTGTTCTCTGACCGTCCGATGGGTCAGTGGGGAGGGTGACGGTCAGAGGGTCGGTCGGTCGGGCCTGCGTCAGTTCCGGCGCTCGTGACCAGCGGCCGGCGGCAGTCGATCGCCGCTGGAGAGCCTCGTCAGAGACCGCCAACGCCTCGCGGTAATCACCGCCCGGCCGACCGAACGGCCGCCGATACTGGCCCCGGTCACGCGGTCCGCCGGCCCGACCTCCACAAAGGGATGCTACCGGCCGCCCGGCGGTTTTACAGGGCTTCGGACTGGCGTCCTATTGACCAGCTACAAGTGTGGTATATAGCCTTGTGGCCCTGCAATGCATAGTTGTGGTTCAATTTGTCATTTGTGATCGATCTGATAATTCACAAAGGTCATGTATTTGCCATTACAGGTATGCATAGGCGCTTGAAAGCGAGTTCGTTTTTATGCGTTATTTTTAGCGGGAAAGTGCTTTCCATTTTTGACACAGACGAAATTCTATTGGCAAATTCACGCTGACAGCGACGCTTCAACCATATTTCCAGCGCAGAAGTGGCCAAATTGATTCGTAAGATAGACCATACAGACGTGGATGTCAAAACGCCTTCAACAGGTGTTTTCTGCGGCCGTCTCGCTTTAGTTCGTCCTCAGCGCTATCTTCCATAGCCGCGGGCTGAGCCCCCTGTATCGAGCGGCCGTCTGGCCGGCCGGCGCGGCGGCAGCGGGCGGCGGGCGGTGCTGGCGGGCGGCAGCGGGCGGCGGGCGGTGCTGGCGGGCGGTGCTGGCGGGCGGCGGGCGGTGCTGGCGGGCGGCGGGCGGTGCTGGCGGGCGGCGGGCGGTGCTGGCGGGCGGCGGGCGGCAGCGGGCGGCGGGCGGTGCCGCCGGTCCGGCCAGGTGCAGGGCCGGTCGATGAGGACCGCCACCGGTGACCCGAATACCCCGTTTGGCCGGCCCGCCGCCGCCGTCACCGACCAATCAATCGCCGGACGTGACTGCGCGCCTGCTCGCCTTCCGGGCACCACTGCCGATCGACGGACATGCGGCGACATTAATTGGGACATGTCGACTGGGAAATGACAAATACTGCCTCAATCCGAGCGTGGGGACAGGGATATGTGTCATACTGATGTCAAGAGCAGGCTAGAAGCACATACGGTGAATCCATTTAAAGTTGTGAGACATTTAAGAATTGGCTATGCGAATATAGGTAGCTGAGCTTATTTAGAGGATAAAAAAAATAAGGACAAAATTTAGATGCATTTGAACAGAATGCACGGCGTAATCTGTAGATTCACGCCACCGCAGTGCAGACTGCATAACCCAGAGTCTGACTGAAGTCTGAACTGAAGGGACCAATGCTATTGTAACATTAGGATTCAGGATACTGCGCCGCCGCACACCCGCGTCCGCCGGCGCAGCCTATACACTCACACTACATCAACGCCACAGAGATGTCGCTACACAGATCCTTCACTGTTCAACGTTCATTGTAATGTGAATGCGATTTACTGTATGAATGATTTGACCTTCAGTATATCGTAAGCACTGAGGACATCAGAGGATAGGTAAGCGCATAGGTCCTCCATTGACGCACTCTGCCCTGTCCTGCGACCTACAGCGCCGCCGACGGTGGCTCATACCTGCCATGTCGTGGACGATTACCGGACGTATCGGCGGGGCAGCACACCCTAATCAGACCCGTGTATTATTCACGCTGGCGTGATGTCAATCCAATAGGTCCCGGTCGGCCGGTGTCACGACACGTCGCACTGTGGACACACCTAGTGCGCAGGGGGATGAACCGACCGCGGTACACGCAGTGTAACCCCAGCGCCAGCTGCTCACCGATGATCCAGAGCTGTTTGTGATGCGCACTGTCAACCCTGTCAAATCCAAAACTGTCAAACCAAACACCACCCTATACCTAAGGCAGGACAGCGCGACTTAGGACGTGCTTTATTGAGCGAGGACCGTGCGACCGGGGGCCATTACAGCTGCGCAATCAATGCGTGCACTGTCTGGGCCGCGCAGGCTAGTGTTATTCGACGCGGGTTTGGCCCGCGGTTTGAGGATCGACTCAGGTAAACATGTTGTTGGGTCGCCACGGAGTCTCTCTGGAACTTATGAACCTGGACGCGGCAAGTTGGCCGATTTGGCGGCACGCCGGTGCTAGTTGGGAGATAAGCGAGAACTTGTTGACAGAGGAACGAGAACTTTCGTGGTATCTTACGAATGTTCTTAGTTTCAATGCCAGCGCGCCGTACGAATTCTGTGGAGGATTTAAAAAAAAAAACATTGTTACTGCTTACATAGTCTATGCTTAGCACTAAGATGTTATAGAAATGAGATGAAGTAGCCACAAGTCATCTTCGTGTATCTGTAGACTTTTCAGGTACTATGTATCGTAAAACATCCTTAGTATTGCTAATTATGAAAAAATAATGAGAGTTAATTGGCCGGCGCAGTTCTCAGACTACAAGCACCCGCTCGGTGGAGGTCCCCGGTCCCGCGGAGGCACGCCGACCCCTCACGGCTCTGCTCCAATTGCGCTGCTCTGCGCGCCGACCCCTCACGGGCGCCGCGAACGAGCCCGGCTTCCACGTAGATCTCGGCTATATTTCCCCAGACATTCCGGCCGGCCATGATGAGTCGCCTCACCGGCGCGCCGCCAGCGGTAAAAGATTGGTCGTCGCTGGTATTGCTTCCTCGGTGAAATCAAACGGGCCGCGGTGCCGGCCACCTCACTTCTCGGCACATGACAGCGGGCTATTTCGGCGGCGTCAAATTTTCAGCCGGCGGCCGGCGTCGCGCCGCAGTCGGGACCCAGCTGGGAGCGCCGTGCCGAGTGGTCCTGGCCGGTGATAAGTGGTCTGCCTGTCAGCGTCGCCGCTCTTTAGCGAGTCGGCGGGCTGAGCCTGGCTCATATCTGCGCTGGAGAGCGCCGCCTCTCTGTAGTGTCTGTCAACAACGGCAGATGGAGTGGGCCACTCCGAGTCCCAGCTAACTGGGCTAGCTTTACAGAGGAGCATGCATAAACAGGGTCGGTAAACAAACTGGGAGACTTAGAGTGACTTACGCAACGCTTAGTTTGGTGTTTTGTTCTCAATACTTCGGAGGAGATAGCATGGCGTGTTGGATTTATTCCGTATCGATGCCTTGTAACTTTAGCTCCGGATCGATAGGAGAGAGAGAGAGAGAGAGAGAGAGAGAGAGAGAGAGAGAGAGAGAGAGAGGGGGAGGGAGGGAGAGAGTGAGAGCGAGAGAAAGAGAGAGAGAGTGAGAGAGAGGCGGAGGAGGAGGAGGAGGAGGAAGAGGAGGAAAAGGAAAACCTTGAGGATAAAGAACATGTAAAAATTGAGGATAAAGAGCATGTCTCGCACGTAATAGAACACGTAATAAAGAGCACGTGATAGAACAACGCTGTGAGGTATATTTTCCTGTTGTGAGACAAAGTAGCTCATAAACCGACCTCGCCCATTCGGTGTCTGTATCCCAATGAACGGACACAGTATACGGCCACGGCAGCGAGGCGGCGTCTCGACATTAGTTGCCGTTCTGGATCCTCACTCGGCGCCGGCCGGGTCCCTGTTGGCCTATGCCATTCCACCAAACAGCCGGGGACAGGGCTGGCGGGTGATCCAGGCTCGTCTCTATGGTGGTCCATCCCAGCCGCGGACCGCGCCGGGCGGCCGGCAACCCTGCTGCACTAGCCGCCGATCGACCGCCGCCGCCCCCCCCCCCACCGACAGAGGGGAGGGGGGCAGTGCTGATGGGGGCGGGCGGGGTGGAGAGAGCAGTTTGATCGATGCTGCGCCCTCTCAGAGGGCACCCTGTACCTACTGTCAATAGGCGCCGATAGGAGGATTAGTGTGGATTGTGGTTTGGGAAACGAGAAAAGATGTTGAAGTATTTTAGTGAAGCTGTTCGATGGCAAATGACTTGAGTTATTTCATGTTTTCTCAAAGTTTTCAGGGCTCTCGTGTGAGTTGACGTCAGTGTTGTACAATTACAGCCCACAGTTCGATGTTTTTCATTCTTCAAACTCGACTGTCGGGGAGGGCGAGCCTGTCGAGCCGTGGCGCGGCTACCCTCGGCAGACCGACGATCATCGAGGGGCAAAAACTCAAACTGACGGCCAACTTCTCCAAATACATGTGCCGCCTCTCGGCAGTGGCACTTTGGAGACCCGAGAGGCCCTCGAGCCGACACAAACAGCGTCGATTGCGGCCGGAGCTGTCATGCAGCGTCGGCCGAGCACACCTACTGTCCGGCCGGGAAACACTACAGCTTCAGACGTGGCACCGTGTAGTTTAGACCTCCAAATACACACGCAATGATGCCACCAGAACAGGGAGCTGCATAATCCATCTTAAAAGAGTCAGTGAGGAATGATTTCACTGTGGAATTTTCAATTTATTGTGTCCCGATAATAAAATGGCATGCTGGCTGCCTCACGGCGGTAACGTAAGATAGATGTGCATAATGCATATTACTATCTAGCTGTACTTTTTTTATTAAAATATTTTATGTATTTCATTCCTTTAATTTATGTGGAATATCCAAAGAAGCTAGGTTACAATAAATTCTTCACGACAAAGGCTCCGAGCACTGTTTGAAGTGTAAATACTACTCCAAAGTGTTTGAATACCTCAAACATTCAAACAGTCAGTAACGCGCCACCGGTGAAATGTGACATAACTCCCATGCTGCGGCACTTTCAACCATCAAGCAACAGTTGCGCGTCATCACTCCTCACAGTATGCCCACATGACACGACTTTCGGCCTCATAGCTTGCCCTCGATTCCTGGCCCGGATCTTTCTGTCCGCACGTTTGGAGCCCAACAGTCGGCCGACACGAGTCGAGTTCGAACGAAACGACCGGCAACGACCGGGGCCGGGCCGGCGCGGCGCGGCGCCGACATCGATCTGGGCGCGACCGACACTGACGGCCCAGTGTCGGTCATTACTGCGGCGCGGCCCATATGCGGCCGGCGGCCGGCGGATAACCCCGGGTCGGGTCACTGACCTTCCCGCGGGGACGCACCGCTCACCGGTCGTCGTCATCGGCAGCGGCGCTGAAACGGCCGGCCGCAGAGAAAAATAAATTATTCGCGGCGCGGCGAGATGGCAGAACGATTCCGTTACGTAACGGAGTGCTGCTGCTGCTCTCGATTGTCTCGAGTTCGAGAACTGATGTCGGGGAAAGTTACGATGACATGAATTGACAGCAAATAACTGCTAACTTTTCATATCACATCAGTCATGGAGATTCGTCTATACATGTGACGCCCATGCTAGCAACTGCTAACCAAGCCTTCACCGTGTTGCAATACCCGTCCCTTACAAACACGGTGGTCTGACCAGGTCGCCCTGTCTCCCTCAGCACCGACAAACACGGTGGACTGACCAGGTCGCCCTGTCTCCCGCAGCACCGCGACACGCAGGAGACGCTGGCGGTGCTCGACCGGCTCGACCTGGACACCGACAAGCCCAACGAGGAGGAGGTGGCCCGCAAATTCGGCTTCGAGGATGACTACTACAACGGCACCGTCTCCTGGTGGCAGAACACCAAGCCCAAGCTGTGGTCACTCTTCGACGAGCCCTACTCGTCGCAGGCAGCGAAGGCAAGTGGTAGATCGGGCGCCCTTCAAACCAAGTGATGATGTATCTTCAGGTCATGTAGTCGTAAACTTATCCATCTATTTCAGCTCTATTTCGCAACTCATAATAAAACTACACTGTTGAGCGATCCATTAGCTACCCAATAATTCACTACTCAACACTCCATAACCCAACACTTCATTGAATGATACCCAACACTTCATTGAATATTTCATCAATTCCGAGGCTCTCGCGGCCCACATCCGGCGCTCGGCTGTCGGCGCGTGGCCTCTGGCGGCTCTGTGAACGCTCTCTTTGTGCCAGCGGCCGCGGTCACCGTGCCGGAGAGAGCTGCCTCGTGGCCGGGTCGCTGCGCCGACAAAGCCGCGCTCTGAGCCGCGCTAAGCAGTCCAGCGTCCGATAGGACTGCCGGAGACGAGTGATTGTGGCCAGATTGGCCTCCAAAGCCGGCCTTAATTGCACCCAGTCAGCCACCAGTGGGCTCGTTTGAGCCGCTGGTGGCTGACGCCGTGGCCGGATGACGGAACTTGACAGACTGATGGCTATCGCGGGATTTGAATACAAATTCTTCTTGCTATTCTGTCTGTAGGTCTGTGTCTGTCTGTCCGGTGTCAGCCGTTCTGTCGGTTTGTTCGTTTGTCAGTCTGTCAGTCCGTCTGTCTGTCGGTCTCCTAGTCGATCTTCCTCATGTTTATATACGCATGTCAATTTATCCGTGAGGCTACGTGTGTCTTTTGTAAGCGGATGATGTTACATTAATTATTACGGCACGCTTCCGAGCGAGTTTTAACCTAATTCTGCTATTCTGAAAAGTTCTCTTCTGTCGAGATTCTTCATTAGATAAAGGCGGCTTGTTCGGCGCCTTTTCTGTCTCTTGACTGGATTTCATTGGAGAGAACGCACTCAGCTTAACTCCACCAAAGTGGCAGGAGTCCAACCAGAGGTCCAAACATTTTTATAAGACTTTTGAACCCAACATAGCCGTACTAACGAGCTGCAATGCCGTAAGCAAAACAATGTTCAGTAGGCAGACGTTGCGTATCTCAAGTTATAATCATGTTGTCTAGCATGTTACTGACAATCACATAATAGCTCGCACAAAAAACGATCGTGCTATTCCGGAAAGTGTTCAAAAAGCCTGCCATTGCTGATGCCATTTCCTGTTTCAGATTGTCGGCATCATCAGCGTGTTCTTCATTTGCATCTCAATCGTGTCATTCTGTCTCAAGACGCACCCGGACATGCGCGTGCCGTGCATCAAGAACGTCACCGTGCAGACAGCCTTCAACGGCACCGCCTGGACGCTGGACAAGTTCAAAACCAATCCGCACGATGCCTTCTTTTACATCGAGTGTGTCTGTAACGCGTGGTTTACGTTCGAGATCTTGGTCCGCTTCGTGGCGTCGCCCAACAAGAAGGCGTTCGTCACGTCTTCGGTCAACATCATCGACTACATCGCCACGCTCAGCTTCTACATCGACTTGATGCTGCAGAAGTTCGCCGAGGACGTGGAGAATGCCGATATTCTAGAGTTCTTTAGCATTATTCGTATCATGAGACTGTTCAAGCTCACGCGGCATTCGAGTGGGCTGAAAATTCTGATGCAGACATTTCGCGCCTCGGCCAAAGAGCTCACCCTTCTGGTATTCTTCCTGGTGCTTGGCATTGTCATTTTCGCCTCGTTAGTCTATTACGCCGAGCGGATCCAGGTGAACCCGCACAATAACTTCAACTCGATCCCACTGGGACTCTGGTGGGCGCTGGTCACGATGACCACAGTCGGCTACGGAGACATGGTGCCCAAAACTTACGTGGGGATGTTCGTCGGCACCCTATGTGCCTTGGCAGGCGTGCTGACGATTGCTCTGCCCGTGCCTGTCATCGTCTCCAACTTCGCCATGTACTATTCGCACACGCAAGCGCGCGCCAAGCTGCCCAAGAAGCGCCGGCGAGTGATAGCCGTCGAGCAGGTGCGGCCGGTCGCCCGCAAACCGGGCGGCAACGGGCCAGGCGGCAACGGCGGCAACCGCGGCGCCGCGCAGAAGAACCGCAAGGAGAGCATGGGTGAGTGAGGGGACGGCGACAGCCGAGGGCCGCGCCAGGCACGTGAGTACCCGCGGCGGACGCCCCGCGCCGCCGCCGCCGAGCCGCTGCCTCAGACCGTCAGCTAGCGGACGGTCGGCTGTTTTGATTAGAGCTAGGGCTGCCGCCACTCCGAGCACGCCATGCAAACAGGTGCGCCTAGCTAGCCGTGCGTGAGAGGCTCCGAGAGGTTGTTTGCCCGAATGAGCTGTACAGTCTGTGTGCCAACCCGAGCGGTCTGTTTGACTCTGCTGTTGACGTGTATGGAGTTCCAGCGGACAGCGACCTGCCGACAGTTGCAGAAACGCACACTCGTGTCATCCCCAGAGTTGTCTCATTTTCAGAGCTGACGACGGCTTGCTTTTGATTGACTTGCAGGCGGACCCTAGCTTTATCACGTGCCTACTTGAGAACGATGCTTTTAGCCTATCAACTGACACAACCAGCAGAGGTTCGGCGTGCATGTGGCCGCAGCTGCTGGGACAGCTGTGGGGCCGCTGACCAGCCGCCCCGTGTCCCCGGTCGGCGCTGACCCGGCCGGCCGCCCCGGTCGGTCTCAGGAGCTGTGACGCCGGCGGCGGCGGCGAAAATCGATCACCGGACGACGCGCGCCCCGACCGGCACTGTCCCTCCCCGCCCGCCCCCGAACCCGACGGCACTGTCCCTCCCCGCCCGCCCCCGAACCCGACGGCACAATGTTCCACAGCCAGTATTAACACTCTGTACTCTTTCTAGGCTAACACGCCGGTCAGGTAGAGACGCCTGTTCGGGTTTTCGCACGGTGTTTGTCAGTGGACCCCTCGTGTAGCCGTAGGACGCGGAGCACCCGGCCCGTAGCGTCTATTCCGCACTTTGCTAGTCCTGTCGATGTTCTGTGAACTTCGCTCGGGGTAAGCCAGCCGGCAGGGACCTGACGGGTGGGGAGGGGACCTGGCCTGCGCCCGCTCCCCGGCAGGAGCTCGTTTCCAGCCAGGCAGCGCCTAGAACGATACCTTAGCTCCATTAGTCGGCAAATGGAGCCGAGGAAACCATTAGAGGCTCGTTTGGGGGTCCAATCAGGTTACAAGAGAGGCGGCCCCGTTTTTCGAGGTCGTCTCTGTATGCATTGAGCCCGCCAGGACAAAGTTTTGTTTATGGGAGATGCCCTGGCTGCCAAATTGACCGGGCGGGCGGATTTGTTCACTCGCAACACGCATGCCATGAAATCTATTCTGGAATCCATGGCGGCGATAGGCAAACGTTGGCCGTTTATTTTCGCACGCGCCGGCGGCGACGGTGCATTGAGCGTCTGGGCGGCAAATGGTTTCGTGCCGGTCGGTTCGGCGCTGGCCGACCCCTGGGATCGATCCTAGATGGCCCCGCGCACTGCATCGGGAAATGATGACTAGAATCAGACTAGAAGGACTGGTAGCTAGTGCCTGGAGGACCGCCGCGTGGCAAGCAGTTCGATAAGGTTGCGAAAGTTGGATCATGCGACTGAATGCGGAGTGTCGGAGTATGCATACTTGCCTGCAAACTTACTAGATCGATTACACGTAACCGTGTCTGTGTGCCTGCGAAGTAACGATAAAGCGGCGCGCGGTGTGTTCTGAGGTTCGTGTGGCGCGTAACGCGAGGACACGATTCAGCCAGCGGTGGGACTCTGCGGCACGAACGGCAATCGGGTCGGGTCGGCGCCGTGTCGTGACACAAGGTCACTAGGTGCGTGCAGCGGCCGCCGGCGGCGTCAGCGGCCCTGCCGCGGTCAGCTGCGATGGCGCCGCGGCAGTCATTAGCGGTGACGTCACCGCACGAGAGCCGCCATCGTCGCAGCGGCGCCGCCATCGCCGCCGCCGGGGCGCGGCGCCTGCCGGCGGACGATGGCGCCGCCGCCGCGCCGCCGCCGGTGGACACTGCCCCCAATTAAAAGTTGGACAGCCGTGTCGTCGGGCACGCCCGCGCCGTGTCGCTGGTTTGCTGTTCGACGGTGGCCGGCCGTCTGTCTGCCGCGGCTCGGCGGTCGCTCGGACCCGGCTCGGTGGACGCTCGGGCGGCGCCATGGGCGGCCGGCAGCGGAGGAAGGCTGGCCCGCTGGCCGAGTTGGCCCGCCGCCAGCTCTCTGGACGGCGGGCCCGATCTCCGAGCGCCCGCCGCGCACGGCGGTGCCATTTTTCTCCGGCGGCTCGGCCGGCTCATCTCGTCCGGCGACGGCGCGCCCCAGAATTATTTGCAGGGATTCGAGAATGCTCATCGCCGCATTATGGACGGTTCTTTATCACGAGCGGTCCGGGCTGCGAACGGCCTGCTTGAGGCGCGCTCGGTCGAACCACGCGCCGCCGACCCAGCACCGACCACTGAACGGTCATGTGAGAAAACGGACGCACTCCACTCCGCTCCTCTCTGAACGCCCTGTGAATGGTCTGAGGCACGCGAGATGAGCTGGGATCAGCACGAATTGTCCGGGGATCCAGGCACCCTCTGCGAGTAAAACTTGGACCGACGGTCTTTTTGAAATGTTCGGCACATACGAAAAACGTTCTTCCATTGGGACTATTCTGTGGGAACTTCGGCGCATCAAGAGTATACCCGCAATAAGAACTTGACTCTTAGCCATCCTAGCGCAGCCTTTTAAGGGCTGTGCACAAGTGATTTAATTACCCTAATGTAAGTAATTTAGGCTAGTTGAATTTAATTGGGTATGTTTTCACTTCTTTACGGGCTTGGAATATTCCTATAACCACCTTAAAAATAATATTGAATGTTTGGCTGTCTGAATTGTGGATAGTGTAATACTGACAAAACTGAAAGGAAAGGTTATCTCTGAGAAATAGATTGTAACGAAACATAGCAAGATAAATGAATTCCTTCGTATCAGAACAAATAAAGTGAATTAAAATATGCAACGACCTATGGCACATAGGCCGTGTTAGGCACTCTGTACGGAATGGTGGCATTACGCAAACGACCATCAAATTAAATTTTCAAGTAATCTCAAAGATAAAGTACAATACAACTTAACAAACAATGACTTACATTCTTTACTGCCATGGCGCCACATTGCCACGAATGTAATTTACTCAGAACGGAATCTCTCTTGACCACGCGAAATGATGGAAAGGTTATCAGAATTCAGAACCATTTCAGTTAAATGCAGCACTACTCCACAAAGTACCCAAACAGAGTTACCTACTCTTATTTTGAACAATGCACAGTGCACAATTCACACCTTTTAATCAGTTGCGGTTACCCTGCTACTACGTTTGAAAGCCTTTTGTATCTGTAGAACGTTATGCATCACGTTCTGTTCGTTGTGCCATATTTTGTTTTGCCATGCATCATACATCCATTTTGTACGCACATTTTAGTAGCCTGGTATCACGTTACGTTTTCATCAGCGATGTGTTTGGTTTGTTTCGTTTCAGCGTGGACGTGCACGGGTTCGAGTGGCGCCCTGGTACCGCTGGTACCGCGCGCGCCAGCCACCGGCCCCTACCCGTACCCTCCGTGCCGGCCGGCGGTTCCCGTGGTACCGGCCCTGCCCAGTAACGGCGCGGCCGTCAGCGTCGGCAGGGCGGCCGCCGAGCCGCTGTTGCTCGTCTGCCAGCAGCGCACCACACCCAACGAACACTTCACCGTGCAGACACTCAATCTGGCGCTGTAGCGCGCCGTATCCGCCGGCACCGCGCCGCCGCCCGGCCGGCTGCAGACGGCGGTGACAGCGGCCCGAATCACCCACTACCAGACGACAGCGCGCCAGGCGACGGCCGCCAAATACACCAACTTTGGGTCTTTCAACTCGCGGTTCGCAGATCTGGGGCGCCGGGCTCTCGGAGCGTTTCGCTCGAACTCCTAGTGACTCAAGTGTCTGAGAGTTGGATGTTATCGGCACCGACATCCATGCCAATCTGTCAGCCCAGTCGCGCGAGTGATGACCTGTTAGCTTTTGACGTTGTCTCAAAATAAAACTCGCCTTTGTAGACAAGCGTCAGTTTGACAACACTGGCTCCTCTGTTATCATGTAGCACCTTCTCTAAACAAGCGGTCTTTTGTCGGGCATCTCCGGTGGCGCCGAATGCTTTTCGAAGAGGGATAAGAAAGCTGCATCCGATAGATTTTCTCCCATATGCAAGCTCCACAAAAACACGTTTCTCTCGAGCAATACAGAATCGGATTTGCTCCCATCAACTGTTGTAGCAGCTTACATAGCTCGGACCTCTGTTGCCCTTACTCCGACAGCTGCATTAGTGTCCCACTAATCCCACCGCCGGACCGGGCCGGTGTCGGGCCATCCGGGGCGCCACCTCTTGTCCCACTGCAAACCGCAGGCAGTCCGTAAGTGCCGCTAACTTCTCCGCCGACCGGTGACCGTCGCCGGCGCCGGCGGGCCGCCCGAGTCACCCTCGACCCGGGGCCGCGACCGCCCACGGTCCCTCCCGCCGGCCATCGACCATGGCGCCGCACTGCCATCTGGGAGCCGACGAGCGAACTAGCCGACCGGTCGGCCGCCCCACCCCAGGCCCATTGCCCCGGGCGAGAGAGGGGAGGGGCGGGCGGGCGCACGGCTGCCGAGTGGCGAGTACCTTACCAGACACCGCCGGCCGACGTCCGCGTGAGGGATGCGCATGCCGCCCGGGCGTCTGGCCGCCGCCGGCCCCTGAGGTGTGACCCGCATGGTGTGCTTTGCACAGCGCTGCCTCGCCATCTGTCTCTCCGCAGGCGCTCGGTGGGCTTTGGGTGACTTTCCGGCGGATGTCCCGGTCACTCGGACAGCCTGGCTGCCGGGCTCGGTGTGCGGTCCCTCTGTCGGTTTCCCTGCGCTCTATCTCTCTCCGTTTGAGTGTTGGACTGCCTGTCTCTTCGGCTGGCTCTCTGTCCTTTCGGCTCCGAGTGGCGTGTCGCCCCCCGCGCTGGCCGCCGCCGCCAATCGCCGGCTCTATGGGGATCGATGTCGTATTGTGTACGTGTTTGTGTGTGTGGGTGTGTGCTTGTTTGTGGTGGTTTCGTGTACCTACTGACCCAATGTGCGAGTGTGGCTCCCATTTTGATGCCCGATTCACTGACCGGTGGACTGAGGTCCGTACTAGACGATGTAAGAATACGTGTCATACTGTCATTGGTTGTCAAATGTTAATTGATAGCGTTTATCCATTGTCATTATGACTGTACTTTTATGCTGACTGCAACTCCAGATTCCGCAATTAACAAAGCCTTACTGGAGCTCAGGTATACATATATCTGCTATGGTTGTTGTGTACGTAGATACTAACCGCGCGCTGCCCTTTGACTAGCGTTTAGTCGCTTGCTTCGTGTCGCTAACCAGTGCCGTGTTTCTTTCAGGCATCGCTTCCAATAATACTACAAACGGGACTAAGGGCTTAGCTAGCGTTGGACCGTAATCCTCCCCCACCTGTTCCCCCCCTTCCGACTCCGAGCCACCGCCCGCCCCTCCTCACCGCCAGCGACATAGGCTCAGCCACCACGCCTCAGCATCCAAGTAAAGTACCTCACCACGGCGTCAGTCCTAGTCTCTCTGCGTGTGCTCTTCTGTTCTGTTCTGCAGCCTAGAAAGCGAACGACTTCTCAGTCTGTGAAGCTCGACGGCTATCTTGGAAGTAGTTTTTCGTTCGGAGCTTCTTTCACTCTGTTCTATCCTTTAGAAAACATCTCTTCTCTATTCTTGAAACACTTTCGTTCTCTTCACGTGTACCTACCTTTCACAAGCGAATACAGAAAACCCTGCACTCAAAACAATGTCATCAATGTTGGGACCTTCACGCTGGCAAAGCTAACACCGGTCACTTATATCTGTTCAAAAGCTTTCAATATCTGCCGATGTCTCCGCTTCCTTCCTTCCTGCTACTGTCTTACTGTTTAGCCTCTTCTAGCCTCTGCCATCTGTCGAACACTGTGCATATAGATGTCGTCTAGGTCGCTTTCCGACACCTCACTTCTAGATAGCTCCGTGTACCATACAGCTACCACGCTTGGAACACTGGTGGCATGAGATGCAACTGTGCTCGTCCTGTGTTTCGGCCGTGGGTGCTCAGTGACTTGCACAACGTGAATTAAGGGGCACTGTAGTCAATAAGTAGTGACAAATTGTACGGTAAAACATAACTAGTGTCTTGGTGATAGTGGTAGACCTAGTCTTATCAACAGTAGGTATCCGCGACTGCATCATGAACTGAGCGCCACTCTGGGCCAGACTGTGTCCGTGTCTCTCTCTCACTCTCTCTCTCTCTCTCTCTCTCTCTCTCTCTCTCTCTCTCTCTCTCTCTCTCTCTCTCTCTCTCTCTCTCTCTATCACTCTGTCCGCACGCCACGCACACGCTGCTAATGCCCGTCCGTCTATTCCAGTCGGCCTAGGCATGACCTCGATGGCCATGCGCCTAAACCCGAACGGCGTCGGCCTGAAGGCATCTCTGGGCGCCGGCCTGCTGCCCGGCTCTCTGGGCGCGCACCTGCTGGGTCCGGCGCTCACCGTCTCCTCTCTGCCGGCCGCCCCCGCCCCGGCCTCCGCTCCCAGTCCGCCCCCCGCCCCGGCCCCGGTCCGACCCTCGGCCACCCTGAGCCCGCTGGCGGCCCCCGCCGGCGGCCGGCCCAGCACGCTCAGCGGCAGTCGCTCGGTGGGCCTGCTGAGCGCCTCCGCCGCCGCCGCCGCCGCGCCGGCCGAGCGGCCCTCCCCGACCGGCTCTCTGTCGCGCCTGCTGCCGCTGCCGCCGACCTCGTCGTCGCCGTCGCTGCCGCCAACATCGACACCGACACCGTCAGCGGCGCCGGCGGAGCGGCCGGCCAGTCCCGCCTCCCCGGTCCCGTTCCAGTGCTAGCCGCCGAGCGCGCGAACTCAGACAGTGCGCTGTCGCCGCCGCACCGACCAGTGATATACAGGGTGGGGCAGAAATATTTACCTGTTTGTTTTCAGTCTATAACTCAAAAAGTTATGAATGGATTTTGATAAAATTTTGCATGCAGCTTCCCAACTGACCCATGTATCAACATTAAGATCGTTTTTACATTTTGTAATAGTTGTTGGTGCGCTATGGCGAAGATGACTAAAAGAGCCCAAATTGCGGCGCTTAAGTAGGCTGGCCACAGCTCTCGAAGCGTTGCCAAACAGCTCGGTGTTGCCGTAAAAACTGTTTGCAGTGTAATTAAATGACTTAAAAAGACAGGGTTAGTGTCGACGAAGTCCATGCCAGCCAGAACAAGAGATATCCGCTTAAAAAAACTGGTTAATATCGTGCACAAGAAGGTGTTTCAAGTCCTAGGCGAAGCATGCGCAAACTGCCAAGGGACCTCGGTGTTTCGCCCAGAACCGCAAGGAGAATCATAAACGACGGCTTGGGCTTCATGTAAGACAGGATGCAACGTCGGCACCTAATTTCGGCGACATCCAGGGAAAAGCGGCTACACAGGACCCAAAAGACATTGAAGGAAATCAGGAGCGCCGGTAACAAGGCATTCTTCTGGTCCAATGACAACATTTTCATGCTTGAGCCCCAGAGACACTTCCAAAGCGTCAGAATTTTGGCAGATGGTCCATCTAGCATTGATCCTACTATTCGCACCATTTTTCGTCGCCAGAAGCCTGCTGGTGTCATGGTTTGGGTTGCCGTCGCATGCGAAGGCTCAAAAGGAACCTTAGTCTTCATCAAAGAGGCTGTTAAAGTGAATTCACAGGTTTCAGTCCATCTGCTTGAGGAATATGTTTTGCCTTGGGTCACTCAGTCGTTCCGAGACGGATACGTTTTCGTCCAGGACGGTGCACCGCCGCCAACAGCCAACATCGCTCAACCGTGGTGGAAGACCCACATGCCTGGGTTCTAGGACAAAGACATTCGGCCATCATCAAGTCCAGACCTGAACCCGATGGACTTCGTAATCTAGACCATCTTGGAGAGGAGGGTGTGTGCAGCGCCACACAACAGAATCGCCGCCCTGAAGCTGGCCCTCGAGACGGCACCGCCGAATCTTGGCGGGGACACAATGCGGCGCTCGTGCCCCTCCGCAGAGGAACGTTTCGAGCAATGGTGGAAGACAAAGGTGGCCATTTTGAGTCATAACGCCGATGCTGAGATATGTACATGTTACTGCATACATGTGCCAGAAATCAATTTGATATCTTTGTTCGGGGCCGAAATATTTAAGAAAATCAAGAGGTAAATGTTTCTGCCCCACCCTGTACACGTTACACAGACTATGGTGATAGCAGTGTTTTAGACGCCGGCGCCGGCGTCTGCGTCTTGGGCCGATGAACCGCGTGTACTTACTTCGTAGGCCCTCTTGAGTGAATGATTTCATAAGGCATTGTTTGTAGAGTAGTAGCGATGATGCACTAGTTAGCCGTTTCGATGCACATATCTCGCCATGGTCGCCACCGAGTAGGCCCTTCACCCGACTTTGTCCTCGGTCACCGCGCTGTTATCTCTCACTGAATTACCGGCCCGCGCTCACTGCGTGGCCGACTGTATGCATAATGAGAGCCATCGGCGGCCCGACGTCGCCCTTTTAGCGTCTCAGATAATTCCAGCACTCGAGTTTCTTCCACGTTCTCCCTCTCTTTCTCACCTGCACGCGCTTTTGAGTTGGGTTTAGCTGTCGATTGTTACATTTTTCGGCATGCCAGAGCAGTGGGTATACCACTGCCGTGAGATGCCCTTTGTGCGTTGAAGAGGATAAGTCTTATTCTTGTCGTTTCACAATACGAAGGGGCCAACTGTTGTAAGATTTGAAAATAGACCTGGATGCTGTTGTGATTTACTTGTTATTCCTAGATTTTGGGTTGAGCAGGCTTTAGGGTAAGGGGAGAAGAGCGGTAACTAAAGCTTTAGTACTGTACAGGCGAAAGCGTATCCGAATACCTATTACTAGTGAGAAGATGCAGTTCGTGCTTCGTGCCGCCATTCATGCATTACAATAGGATGCAGTCACAGTGCTCCTTCTGGGTAGACTCGCACTCTAGTCGCTCTGCGTAGCGCTCTGTCGAACGCTCTCTGACCGTGTACATACCACCCGGAGCGCCTGGCCTCCTCCGCTGTAGGGCTTGTAAGGTGCACCATATCAAACTCATCTCGCTAGCCCGGCGCGCGCTCCCCGCGGATCGGTTCGGCCGAGCGCCTCCTGTCGCCGCTCGCTCCAGTCGAGCGGACTCTCGCGTCGCGCGCGGTGTCACGGTGGGCGCAGCGGCCCTCTCCGAGCCGCCGCTGCCGCTGCCCACCCACTTGTGTCAGCGGCAACACGACAGATCATGTATTTTCCAACCCATGTCATTTATGGTTGTTTTTCGAATGTAAATATCCTTCTTTAAATACAGAAGATTACTCAATTCCTACCGGGTTGTTTGTTGGGTGAAGTCAGAAGCCTTGGTATCGGCTCATCAGCACGGACACTTCCCGGCCGGCACGGTGGTCAACAGCAGAGCTTTGCTAACAATTTAGAATGCCCCAGCGACTAGCAAGCAACATTATACTAGACGCAACCAAAAAGAAGGTTGTCATTTATGTCAAAGCCTCTCATATGAGCTTGTCGAGAAGAGAGCCGCTGTATTAGCTGAAATAGCTCAATTCGACGAAAGTTTGCGACAAAAATAGCTTTCAAGGCTGAACTCATTATAAGCGGTCCCAGTTCTGACACGACATCGGAAATCAATATCAAGCGTATCGCATAATACATACTACAGCTTCTTGAAACCTTATGCAGCCTCGTTCCATCTAAGATCTATCCACCTTTCATATCCGTAGCCGATGACATAGAAATACTTGAGCGATAGCTTTGTAAAGAATGTAGTTGTATATGTTGTTGAGTGTTTTGCATTCTTTGTAAAGAATGCAAAACACTCAATGGCAAGCATCCATGAAAGCCAAGACAGCAAAAAAAAAAAAAACTGCTGGATACCAATTTCACATAAAAACTTGACCGAACCTCATAGCTGCTTTGCTTTTTGGAAACTGATCGTCCTTAGCGGCAGCCGCCAGCCGCGTCGTGCGGGTTAGTCTATCCACAGGCGGCATGCTGCGCCGCACGACAGGCGGGCGTTGCGGCACAGCCTACCTACACAGGCAGCGGCCGTTCGCCGACTGCCGACGTCCACAAATACCAGCAGGAACAGAGTAAAAGGCTGCTCCGTAGCGCTCGGCAATGTGGTCGTGCTGCGCGGTACGCACTCCGCAAGAACGGATGGCCAAACTGCCGAGAACGACTGATGACGTTTGACTAACCTACAATATAATACCGACAATATAATATGTAGGCTGAACCGACTGTTTGCGTACTCGATGTACGAAAGCTGACCGTGCTAGGACGGTTTCATCAAATGATTTCACCTGCTGCAGCCTAGCCTTGCGGCCTTATGTTGCACCAGAATTTCCAATATCTCACTCCAGGCGACGATAGTTCTTTATGAACTCCGCTCGTCCTTCATCTCATCCAATACCTCGATATTCCCATTCAGCGGGATGTTCGAGTCATGATCGCACTATATCCCCGGTCATGTTTATCAAAAAGCTGGGGATCGGATGATAGGGATTTTTGGAGTCAAAGACCACCTGCTGAAAACCTTGGTAGCTGGCATAGAAAATAAAGGATTTGAAGAACTCATAATGGCACCCGGAATAATATCTATTGTAATTGCATCCGACACAAATTCTGCAATACTTGCAGTCTTGAACGTCCCACAAAATACTTCATACAAAATGACAAGTGTTGAAACCGATTGTAGCAGCTAGTTATAGGAGCTTTCACCGAAAAGAACATAACCATCATAAACATATGTCGTAAAAAAGACCGATAGCATGTGGAATTTCAAGTGCAAGAGCACTTCCGAACTAGCGACGCAGGTCATCAAAACCCTGGCTGCGCAAAACGAAATAGTAAACTAGCATTTAGTTATATTTCACGAGACCAGCAATGCACCACACCATCCCTAAACACCGATATCACATCGCTCGGGGCGGCGCAGCGAGGAATGCGGCGACCGGGCGCGGCACTTTTAAACGGAACGGAACCAATCGCCGCCGGCCGAGTCGCCGTACACCGTAAAACATCGCCCTCCCTGCCACCCGATAGTGGCCACCGACTTAAAGCAAACACATTCGAGCGCGAGAAATGCCCAGGCCCAGCAGCGACCGATTTCATAGCCGAAGTAAGTGTCTCCATAGCTTGACGGGCAAAATAACGTAACTGTTTCCTAGATCCTACCATTCTAGTGTGAGCTGCTTATATTGGGGCGCGATACACGTAAGCATTATCTTGTTAGCGCGTTCGGCTACGCGTTTCTGTTCCTCCCTCTCAGGGAGGCTTGCGTTCTCCGTCAAGCATTCACGATTTGTGTTAACGCCACTCGAAGAGCGATAAGTTATTAACGTGGCATTTTCAGCGTCGTAGCAGCGTCACGCACCCTTCTCAATATTGTCCACCAGATCACTCTCTGAACACTCGCACACACTCTGGACTGACGCGTCGTTAAATAACCAAGACAACAAACAAACCTCTGAGACAAAGCAGCCGTTCCTCTCGCACGGCCCACCGCTGAGTTTTCGGGAAAACCTCTGAATTTTCCCAGCGTAAGCAGGACCGGCAGTTCAACGGAGCCAGATCTGGCGTGATTCCAGGCTAGTGATCTGGCATAGAACTGAAGGGGAAGCAGAGGCTAGCTCCATAGCCGCGGATGACTACATATACACAGTGCAGCACCGATTCAACTCCAGTTCATCGGAAGGCAACGCGCAGAGTCGCGTTCGAACACTCACGTTGGAGGTGTGCCGGTATCAGCGCCGCCTATGTCGATGAGGACATCGGTGGGCGGCTCGGCCCGGCCGGAGGCGGGGGC